AATACTAACCTTTAAGAATTTTGTATTAACTTAAGCTAGTAGCTTGTTTATTTTTTAAATTTTTAATAGGTCTTGCAAATATTTTATTTCAATATCAAGTTTAATATATTTATATTACAATAATAGAACAATTCACAACTTGTCCCTATGCTTTGTCCTTTGATACTAGTGAAAAATATTGTATTCAAGTTTATTTACTTATTTATTTATTGATATTTAATTTTACCATTATTATATTCTCTTGCTAATTCTTACTTTCTATGTAGTTATAGGGGACATGCATGAAATAGTTAGGATACCTCAATTTAATAAATTCTATTGTTTAACTCACTATACTCTTTTTATCGAAGAACTTAACAAAGTATTAGAAAAATATTATTATATTTATAGTTGCAATTATATTATATTATATTATTATGCAAGAAATGTTATAATTCTAATTTCATAAAGCAAGTAAACATGACTTGGAGTATCCGATACTTCAAAATTAAGTATCCGATACTCCAAAATTAATAAAAAAATAATTAAGAAGTATTTGATACTTTTAATAAGTATCCAATACGTATCCAAGGAGTATCAGTATTCGATACGGACACGATACGGATACGTCACCCTATTTGAAGTATCCGTGCTTCATAGCTTCTCTCTCTCTCTCTACTATGTGAGGGTTTCTACAAACCCTCCTCTCTCACACCCGACCGGCCTTTCATCGCCTCGATCCCATTGTTCCACCACCATCAGCGTAACCCCCGCCTTGATTCTGGCCACTCATTCGCCTTGAAGATCCTTGACAAGACCAGAAGCTCTGTTCAATGGCTTCTTCTGATAGGAACAAGAAGAAAAGGGTTTGCTTTCTAAACATTTTTTTTTTCTTTTTGAACCTTTAAACTGGCTTTCTTCTGTTCAATGGCTTCCTCGGACTTGTTCACGGCTCTTGGAGTGAATATGCATATTTTTAGACTAGTTTGCCTAGTCCAATATAATGATATTCTTATACCTACATACATAGATTGTATACTTACATACATATATGTTGTGTATGAACTGTAACATTGAACTGTATTATTGCAATCCTAAGTGTTTCTTTTTGATTTTTTTTGATTTTTTGATTTCTTTTTTTTGGGTTCAAAATCATCTGGAAAGTGTTTCCTTTTCTTTTTTTTTTTTTTTTTGGTGTTAAAAATCAAAGACAAAAGTAGATGGGTGACTTGGCTTTATTTTTTTGGGTTTCTCTGCTTTCGAAACCTTTTTTTTTTTTTCTTTCCTGATTTCTTTGTTCAAAATCAAAGACAAAAGTAGGTGGATAATTTGGCTTTATTTTTTTTTGGGTTTCTCTGCTTTCTAAACCTTTTTTTTGCCCCTGATTTTTTTTTATTATTGAAAATCAATGACAAAAGTAGATGGGAAAGTAGATGGATAGAGTAAAAATCATATATATATATATATATATTGATTTTTTAAAAAAATTATTTTTGTATAGTATTTTTTTAAAATTTTAGTATGTGGTTGGAGGTGGCATTTTTTTCCCCTCAATCCCCAAATCTTTCTAGAATTCTAGGTATATGGTTGTCTCATATGCTTTGAAGTTTGTTTGGTTATAGGTATGAATTTTGTGTTGTCTCATATGCTTTGTTACTTATTTTTTTAAAGTAAGATGGTTCATGGTCCATTTGTATTTTTTATGTTCTTTTTTTCTTTTTTTCTTTTTTTCTTTTCTTTATCATTTATGCACTTAATTGTTTTTGGAATGGAGGGACTTGAATGGTTGACAAATTGTCGCATTCACTACCAGAAAAGGGGCTTTATGACATGGAATTTTTTGTGACGGTTTAAAAACCGTGGCAAATAACAAGCTTTTGCAACAGTAAAAAACTTCGTCACTAAATATAGTTTTTTGCGATGGAAATAACCCATCGCAAAAAAGAAGATAATAAAAAATGATATTTTTAGCAACGAATAACCCATTATGTCACAAAAGACACAACATATGCAACAATACGTTACTCCCGTCGCAAAACTTTTCCCCTTCATGTTTTGGACTGTTTTGAGACGGATTTTACAACCGTCGCAAAAAGTTGGCCTTAATTTTTTTTGGCTGGGTATTGGCCCTAATTCATTCCTGCCTAGTTCTCTCCTCATTCATTCTCTCTCATGCAGCTGTCACTTTTCCACAACAGCGCCACAGATAACAACATCGGCGTGGGCGAAACCCCCTCCGGGGTCCAGGTAACCCGCCTCCTCTTCTCTTTCTCTCTCTCTCGCTCGCTCTCTCCATCTCTCTCTCCATCTCTAGCTTCTTGCTTCTCTGCCATGTTATTACCGCAGCACTCTTTTTCTATCTTGGTGCAACTCATCTCCCATAACCGCTGGCGAGAGCTCTCTCTCTCGTTTTTCCTACTCATCTCACTCCCACTCCTTCACTCCCACTGTTGCTTTCGAAAGCTATCAAACCTCTTTCATCTTCTTCATCTACTATCAACAAATCGCTTCCAAGTGTGCTGCCCGATCACTCGATTTGGCAGACTATTATTCACAATCTCCTCTTCTAAATCAGCGACTTACCTGCGGACTGCCCTAATTCAACCCTAATATTCTACCAGAAAATCTAGAACCACCATCACCATCCTTCTCAAATTTCCTCTCTACAACACCATTAGCGGTGAAGGTTTAATTGCAAATGATTAATTTGAATACCATTCTGTACTACAGGAAGATGAATTTGGTTTATTTGTGACTTAAAAATTCTGACTTTGGTATTCTAATTCATACCAGATTTGGATCTAGGTTTTCAATTTTGATTTATTATGGTATTTGCTTCATAGTGATTTCGGTTTTGACCTGACTTTTTTTAGGTTTCGGACTCGGGTTTATGGTTTTTGAATGTTGTTTATACCATTTTCTGTTTATTCTTGCTTAAGTTTGGCTATTGAGTTGGTTGGAACATGTTTGGAATAGGTTGGTTACTTGATTTTCAAACTTTTGTTGTCCAGATTTTTGCTCTTTCGCTTGAGCGGCACTTCTTGTGCTCGAGCGGGCTTTTGTAAACTCTTAGTACTTTGGCAGGTCTACATAAATACTTGGAGAGTGTAATCTTTGCTCGAGCGGCTTTTCTTACGATCGAGCGGGTGTGCGCTTGAGCGGCCATGATTGTGCTCGAACAATGTTCTTATGCCTGCAAAACTATTGGACGTGTGTATTCTGTGCTCGAGCGGACTCTTCGTATGCTCGAGCGGAACAACTTATTGTGTCTGACGCTCGAGCGTCAACTCTTGCGCTCGAGTGGACTGTGCGTATATCAGTTCACAGTAGCCTCCTTTTTGTTCACTTTTTTATTTCTCTCTCTCAAAACCCTTGATCTACTCTCTCTCTCTCTAAAACTCACTCTCTCTCTATATTTTAACCTAGATCCATTGGGTTTTCTATCCTAGTGTCTTTGAGAAAAAGTTAAAGCATCCCAAGAGCTTCGTTTTGATCCGATTGAAACTTGGTTTCGGCGTTGTTGAAGGTTCCACCTTGCTTTGTTCGTCTCCTAACTATGAGGTAGAAATTTTCTACACTTTCGTATGACTTTTAACTTAATTATGAGTTGTTGTGTATAAATGGTAGAATTTGGGTGTACTATGAACAAACCTAGGGCCTGGGTACTAAATCAAAAGTGGGGTTTATGAGTGGATTAGTTATAAATGGTTATGGGGTTGAATATGAGGTTATATTGTGACAAAATAGTTGATTTTGGCATTTGGGTTGATATTTGGAAAAGAGGGAGTTTGTCCTAAAATGTTCAAGGAATTATTTTGCATAAATGATGAAATTGGAAATGGGAATGTGAAATTAGATAAATGTATATATAACTGTTGAAGTTAGATGTGTATCATCTCCCACTTATAGAAATTTGAATAATTTATCTGTTGAGAAGATTGTATATCCATTTAGAAATATTTGTTCTAGGTTATCGATGGAGGATAACTATGATTGTTGTAGAAATTGCATGAGGATTAGGTAAATTGAAACTAATCTCTTTTTGGTTGTCATTGAATATGATTGTATTTTAATACATTGTATATGTATGATGTTTGAAAGGAGAAAGTGGATGTACTCTATGTTTGGAAGAAAAAAGAGGATGGACTCCATTAAATTAAGTTGGCCAGTGCGTCTAGGGTGAAAGTCCTGAAAACATTGTGTATACATGAGTGCCGAATCCCGGTGATGAAATTTTCGTAAAATGACAAATTGAAGTGTTTGTGTGTAATGGTTGTGTGGTTGGAAAACCACTGAGTTGTAGTCTTAGTTGGGTTGTCTGGATAACAATGGGTGTGACTCATGAATTGAAGAAATATGAGATGACGAGAAATGAATTGATATAAATTAGATTGGAATATAGTACTTGGCATAGTATGGTTTTAAAAGGAAAAAGAGTGGTAAACAATCTTATCTTTGAGCAGTGAACATGTGCATCATATTTATAACCTTGTTAAAGTTCATATATTGTATTAGATTGTTTCTACTAGGTTTTGTCTCACCCTATCTTGAGAAAAACTATTTTTAGGTGCCGGTGATATGCCTCCTTCAATGACTTAGCTTGGGAGGACTATGGAGCTGAATGTTCAATATTATTATTTTTGTACTTAACTTTTGTACTGCCAAAGAACTTTAAATGTATTGGACTAAGGATGCACTTTTGTTGTAACCAAGAATTATCTTGGAAAGATGTAAGCCATTAAGGTGAATGATTATCTGTGTAACTTTCATTTCTTCTTGTATCTATCTCATGTATGTCCACTCTGATAAATGAAGGCATGTTAATTCAATTATATTTCTGCTTATGAGATGGGTTTGTTGTATTTATTTTGGGGCGTTACATACTTTAGATCTATTGTTTTGACTGGAGCGTGTTTGGATCTAAGGTTTTGGTTTTGGTTGGAAATTGAACTCATGCTTCCCAGATTTTACCCATATGTGGTTTCTTATGAGATTAAAATACAAAATTTTGTAATTACTAATTTCTTCCTTTGTTTAGTAATATCTTAAAGAATTGAAAGTCCTATTTATTATAAATTATTTATTTCTTATGATTTCCTTGTTGCCATTTATTTTTGTCTGCAAATTTTTGTTTCTTGTTGTTTATTTGGCAGCATAAACTTGTATGCATGCCTTAAATATATATATATATATAATCTAAATTATATAAAAGTATGGAAGGGATTGTGAATCTAACGCAGCAAATTCTCTAATTTGCCCTGCTTTTTCTATCATAATTCTAGGTTAACCAACTGAGGTTGAAGCCTATATTTCTATCCTGCAAAGTGGTGGACTAATAAAGCTTACAGCCTGTATCTGTGTCTTGCAAAGCAGTGGACTCTAGCTTCAATTTGGAATCATATATATGTTTGCAATTTGGAATTCATGGTGTCCAAGAGATCAACTCCCAAACCTTGTTTTCAATTTGGAATTCACAGTGCACAATCTGGTATGTTATTGTCATAAACCTTGATTTTTTTTTTTTTTTTTGGGGGGGGGGGCACATGATGTGGGGCACTACTCCTGGTTTTCAGCGTCATTGGTTTGCAGATGTTTGTATTGATTTATATGGTATTCACCTGGTGTTTGTTAGTATATAACTTGCACACCATATGCTTGAAAATATGCCCATGAGAGAACTTGTTTTCAACATGAGCCCAAAGAATATGTTACCCATGATTATCTTCAGAAGTCTGTAATTGTGTTAGTCGAAAAGTAATGTTTAGTTAATAATCTAAGAACTTGGTTTCATAGAAATATTGTTGAAATTAAGAGTTGATAAGAATTAGGCAAAGAATAAATTTCTGCAGGTGATATGTGGTCATACATGGCTACAAGTGATTGTATTATGTTTCTTCATGATGTTTCTAAATAGACAAATATGCATTTTAATAGTAGCTTATATTTACTATAAGTGCTACACAAATCCTTGTTAAAATGACTCTTGTACTCTGCTTTCCAACCAGTCACAATTAATATGGCAAATAACTAGACACAAACTTGAGCTAGAGAAAATGTATCCTTGGAACTCAGATTAATCGCTGTACTACAAGCACAAGAAACATTTACCATAGAACAACATCATCACACAAATTTCATTTGAATTAGAGAAATAGGTAACAAACTAAGGAACCAAAATAATTTAACAAAAGATAGCTAGCACGACCACTGGCAAGCAATAATAGATATAGCATTTATTTATTAATTCAATCATTGAGTCCTTCAAAATAACTAGACACAAACTTGAGCTAGAGAAAATGTATCCTTGGAACTCAGATTAATCGCTGTACTACAAGCACAAGAAACATTTACCATAGAACAACATCATCACACAAATTTCATTTGAATTAGAGAAATAGGTAACAAACTAAGGAACCAAAATTATTTAACAAGAGATAGCTAGCATGACCACTGGCAAGCAATAATAGATATAACATTTATTTATTAATTCAATCATTGAGTCCTTCATAATTGTTAACAAAGAGATGGATTTAAGTCAATCACATTCTTCATTAATATATATATATATATGTACACACCTAGAAGATAATATAAAAATAGAAAAGTTTCCAAAAAGTTTAACTATAAACTAAATCGTATTTGAATATTGCAAAATCTGTATTTCACAGATAATTGAGAGAGGTGGGGGAGGGGGGAAGTAACATAATTTGCAGTTTAGAAGAAAAAAATGTTGATGAAATTTAAAAATGGTGAAGTGAGTTTAAGTTTGCTCCTCTGTCTATTAGCACACAATAGACTTGCATGAGATTCAAATATAACATAAAATAGAAGTGAAGATAGTGAATGAATCTTTTCTTTAGCTAATGCGCACCAGTCATTTTCAAAGAGCTTACAAGCTAAATCAGCAAGCACATCTGTAGTTCATTAGGATTTAATTCTTTTGTCTTTCCAAGATAAATAAATAAATAAATAAATCAAAATACAATGACAAAACCGAAAGAGAAGAAGGGAAATAAAACAAGCTCGTTCATATTAATTGTGTTGGCATCTCCTAATTGCATTTTGTGTGTTGGCATGTTTGGGTCTCAATTAATAGTTTTAACTTGAAGCTTCCCAGCTTCCCATCTATGAAGCACAGGTACTCCAAAAATAGTGTCGTACAAGTACCGGCTACTTACTGGGTGCTAGTATGCGTACCGAGTACGCCGAATACATGTCGGGTACGCCATGAGTACGGAATGGGTACGCCGTGGGTACGGCAAGGGTACAACATCGGTATGACAAAATGATTATTTTTATTTATTTATTTTTCCAGTTATTAGAATTTATTGTAGCCTTTATTATTCTTCTTTCAATTTTGAAAGTATCAAGTAATTTATTTTCAACGCCCTTTACCCATGAGTCATAGTTTTGCTCTCTTTTGCATCCTGTTTTAGATAATCAAAAAAGAAAAATAAAGAATTATATAAATTTTTAGGCAAGTTGTTCTCTTTTTAGTTTTGATATTGAAACTTATGATTTGTATGTTGGATGTTTAGCTATAAATTTTAAAAAAAAAAAAATGAAAAAATTGACTTACCTCAACCGTACCCATACCCTACATATAGCGATCCCGGTTGTTCCCTTTACTGTTCAGTTGTATTCCGGACTCGGTTCCGTGGAGCTGCTGGTTGTATCTATCTTGTTGTCGTTCTTTAAATCTATTTGTTTGAGTTTTAGGATGTGTTGGGCTTGGTTGTTACAGGTTGGTAGAGCTTTGGCTCCCATTATTGTTGCCCAGTTTTTGAGTGGTCCGCTCGAGCGGGTCATTTTACGCTCGAGCAGGGTTTACACCCTTCCAGTATTTCGAGTCCTTGTAAAACTTCTGCAGGTGTGTTTTCTACGCTCGAGTGAGTTTATTGCGCTCGAGCGGGTTACGCTCGAGCGGGCTTGTTGGCGCTCGAGCGGTTAGTACCTCGTTGGTGAAAGTTCTGGGAGATGAAAATCTACGCTCGAGCGGACTGGTCTTTCGCGCTCGAGCGGGTGTCCTTTGTCTTTGTGTCTTGGCGCTCGAGCGGACATTCTTGTGCTCGAGCGTACCCTGTTTTCTGTTCTTGACGCTCGAGCGTCCTGTTATCCGCTCGAGCGGGAATGTCGTATATCAGTTGGCAGCTGGGCGTTTTAAAATCACTTCTTACTCTCTCTCTCTCTCTCTTACTTTCTAAAAACGTTTTTGAGAGCTTCTCTCTCTAGGATCTCCCTTCTCTCTAGGGTTTGATCTAGTTAGAGTGTCTCTCTATCCTCCGGCCTTTGTAAAAAGTGTGTTGATCGTCGATGGCTCCATTTTAATCCGTGGATCTTTGAGTTTGGAGCATTTTGGTTTTCTTCAACCTCCCCGTTTGAGCTCTAACTTCGAGGTAGGGATATCCTACTCCTCTTTATGAGCTTTGTCTTTAAATTTTAGCATTTTGATATGTTGGGTAATTTTGAGAAAGTTTGGGTCTTTGTGTAATTTACAAAAGATGGGGTTTTATTTATAATTAAACCTATATGCATGTTTGGCATAGAGAAATGATATAGATGATGAACTATGGATGAAAGTGGAACCTTGGGGTTGTTATGTTAATTATGGGAAAATGCCCTAATTAGTTGGATAAATTAATTTGTATAATTAATTTTGAGAAATGAGGAATTGAATTGAGAGTATTCAAATTGAAAAGATTATAGGATTAACGGGTGTAGTTGGATTCATTTAATCGCTCACCCAGGTTGAATGTTGATAATATATCCAATTGGTGCATTTATTTCCTGTTTAGAAATAACTGCTTTGGGCTATCGGTGGAGGATAGCCTTGATTGTTGTAGACAATGCATGATGATTAGGCAAACTAAAACTAATCGATTGAGTATACTATCGAATATAGCGGTTGGAATAATACATCGACTTTATGTATTGATTGTTATGTATATGATCTATGTTTATATACATTGTGTGTGTGGGAGGAGATAGGAGATGTACTCCACGGTTTAGGGGAAGATAGGGGATGGACCTCTAAGCCGGGTTATGTGTGACATTGATACAACACTACAATGTGTATCAAGTGTTGATTATGGAAGTGTTTAGATTGATTTGATATAGCACTAAAATGTATATCGTTATCAATTGTGAAGTATAGAAGTGTTTCTATGTCATGTTGATACAGCACCACAATGTGTATCGTTCGTATAGTATGGGAGTGGCTTATGTGTTATTGATACAGTATCAGAATGTGTATCCACCATGAATTTCGAAAGTGTTTTTAAGATAAGTCTTATTCTCATCAAGTTATTTGGCTAAGTTTTGAGCCTTGTTTTCAAACTCAAAGTTGAAAAAGAAATGAGAAATGACATGTAACATGGATTTAAATGTCATGAAATCGGAATGTGATATAAGTGAGTGTATCGGTATTGACCATCTATCAACTGCTAATCTTTTAGTCATTGTTCATAGCTGGTTTAGCGTATTTCTGTTGGGCTGTAGCTCACCCTTTATGGGACATCATTTTCAGGTACAGGTAACATGCCACCTCCAAGGACATAGCTTGGGAGGCTAGAGGCAGACAGACTGCTTTTGTTGTTTGTTTTCTTTTGATGTATTACATGTAAATTCAAGCTAAGGGCTTAATATGTATTGAGTTAGCACTCTTTTTTTTGTAACCAAGTGTTAACTTGGAAAGCTGTAAGCCCGTAGGGCATTTGCTTTTGTTGTTAACATGTAATACTTTTGTAAGAACTACTCTGATTAATGGAAAGATGGTTGGTTTCTTTGTATCAATGCATGTCTAAAGAGATGGGTTTTATGTATTATTTTGAAGGCGTTACACTACATTTTTAAGAATTTGTCATATCGGAGTACCCATATCGTACCCGTATCTATACTCCATACCCGCACCCGTGCTTCATAGCTTCCCATTTGTGTGTGTAGATCGCATTTAACTACTGCATGGATAACTCATTGATTTTAATTTCAACTTTAACACGAAAATTAATGAAATTTTAGTTAGTTATTAAAGAATGGGAAGGTAAAATGAAAAGAAGGGAAAGGTTGTTCATTTTCTTACAAGAAAGAAATAGAAGGGGAAAGGAAAAAAGGAAAATGAGTAGCATTTATCAAGTTGATAGTCTTTCTTTTTCTCTTTTTTTTTTTTGGTGTTTTCTTTTTTAATATTTGTTTTGTTGTTGGTTAATATGGCTTTATGTTATGTGTCTACAATGATTGCATCCTTTTGTCAGGTAAATACAAAGTCAAGCTTGTTCTTCAATCAACATACTCTTAATGCTAAACTATTTTTACCTGGTTGCCACGATCAAAGATTAGTTTAACATTGTTCTAATTTATATTGGTGAAGCTTTCCTGTGGTGCCAGAATTTAGTAAAGATGAGAGATTGTAAGAACCCAAATATAAAATTAAAAATGAATAATTAAGTAATAATAATTTTACAAAGCTCAAATATTTTGCTTGTGAATCTTAAGGTGCAAATTAAATATTATTGAACGGTCTTTTAATTAATTTTAAACCTAAAATAAATTTATGACGAAAGTCTTTAATTTTGAGGCAAGATTTATTATTAAAAAAAATAGGGAACAAATTAGTAAGTATATTTTGATCTAATAATAGTTGTATTTTATTTAAATTAATGGAAAGAGAAAATAAAATAAAAAAGAATAATTATTTGGAGTCTTTTATGTTATGTATAAATAATAATAAAAAACCTAAGTTGTAACGCCCCCCAAAAAAAGGGCAATAACTCATCTGCAAATGACTAATACAAGATGACAAAAACCAAATAATAAACTTTCATTAATCAGAGTAAATCTACAAAAGTGACACATGCGATATACATTTACAAGCTCTATCATAAATCTATAGCATGTGATAGCAAAATAAATGCCCTACGGGCTTACATCTTTCTAAGACTATATTTGGTTACAACAAAAGAGAGCGTCTTAAGCTCCATACATATAAAGCCCTAGGATTGTACAACTACTAAATACAATACAAAACAATAAAATAGAGCTTTCAGCTCCTTGGTCCTTCCAAGCTAAGTCATCGGAGGAGGCATGTTACCAACACCTGAAAATGGTTTCCCAAGTAGGGTGAGCCAAAACCTAGTAGAAACAATCTAACATAATATGTGAATATTAACAAAGATATAAATATGATGCACATGTTCAATTCCCAAATGACAGATCTTTTACAACCTTTTCCAACACCATGTTATACCCAACTTACATATTGATTCATTTTATCCTGGTTCATTAGGTATACCTACTTCATTTAACCAATCAAACGGAGGATACACCTCCCAGGTCTCTAACCAAAACAATTATCATACAAATATATTCACTTGCCATTTTACGGAAATTTCGTTCGCAGGAATCGGCACTCATGTATATGCGCAGTTTTTGGGACTTTCACCCTGAACACACTGGCCAACTTAGTTTAATAGAGTCCATCCCCTTTCTTCTCCCAAACATGAAGTACATTCCCTTTCTCCACCCAAACATCATACATATATAATGTATACACATCATGATCATATTCAATGATAACGACCAAGAGATTAGTTTCAATTCGCCTAATCCACATTTAATTTCTACAATAATCATGGCTATCCTCCATCGATAGCCTAAAACAAATATTTCTAAATAGATATACAATCTTTGCAATAGATAAATTATCCAAATTTCCATAGGTGCGAGATAAAGAATATCTAATTCCACCATTTATATAAACTTCCATCCAATTTCATGTTCCCAACACCAATTTTATTATTTATACAAAATAATTATTCAAGAATTTTAGGGCAAAGCCTCATTTTTCCGAATCTCATGCCAAACACCAAAATCAACCATTTTAACACAACATAAGCTCATATCTACTCCCATAACCATTTCCAACATGTTAATTTGAAAACCCCACTTTTGATTTTAACCCAAACTCTAGGTTTGTCCAAAATCACAAGTCTCAACATTTCTTACCCATCAACAAATAACCAAGTTAAAACTTATAAAAGAGTGTAGAAAGTGCCTACCTCAAAGTGAGAAGATGAGCAAAGCAAAGGGGAGACTTCAAAGACACCGAAACCCACTTTTGTTCGAATGAAAATAGAGCCCACGACGTGCTCTACGTTTTTAACAAAGTCACAAGGGTGAAGAGATCACTAGATCTAGGTTAAAAAGTAGAGAGAATGTAAGTTTCAGAGAGAGAGGGTCTCAACTTTAGGGTTTTGAGAGAAATAGATCTGAAAAAGTGTGTAAAAAGTCATTTTCGCGAACTGATATACGCATAGTCTGCTCAAGCGCAAGAAGTGACACTCGAGTGCCAAGACACAAAACCAAAGGTCATTACCGCTCGAGCGTAGGAAACGCTGCTCGAGCGTAGAACACATCCTCCCTGTAGTTTTGTAGACCTGCAAAAGTACTGAGAGTTCACAAAGCCCGCTCAAGCGCAAGAAGTGCCGCTCGAGCGGAGGAAGCAAGATGGGTAACAAGAGTTTGGCAACTAAGCAACCAACCTATCCTAAACACAACCACATCAATCCAAAAGCCAAACTGAAAGAGATACAAGGGAACCAAGATTTAAACAACAATGTGAAACCATCTAACTCGAGTCCGGGATACAATAAAGGTCGGATCAAAACCGGAATCGCTATATAAGTTCTCTTATTCTTTTCATGGCAACTGTGAGAGTGAGGGAGGAAGAGAGAGCAAGAGATAGAAAAGAAAGATGGAGAAAAAGAAACTTCCAGCACCTTTGTGGCTCAATAACTCTAAGGTAACAATCAATCTATTATTGTTCTATTATAGTATATTGTTTACACAGTTATAGTGTATGTGGGTATTGTAAGTTGTTGGAAGAAAAAGGAACGGATTGACTGATTGGGATAGTGTTTTGTGTATATTATTATCATGCAAAATTTTAAAACGAATTAAGGAGCTAAGTCGTTGGATAAGAATTCTGCACAAAATCACAAACTTTAAAAATCAAGAAATCATATCAAACAGATGAATTTTGAACTGAAATTTTTATAGTAACTTAATTACATGTTGAAATTCATAATCACCAAAATTATGTAAATTGAATCTAACGCACACTTGGTTCTTTCAAATTGCCCTTGAGGCTCCCTCAAGCTACTCATCCATGGGTCGAAGCCCAAAGCTACTCGTCCAAGGCTGTGAGCCATATGCTTAAACCACAGCCTGCAAGTATTAGTTCATTGTAGACGATCCAATTTGTCCATTTTCTCATTTCTTTGTATCTCTTGTTATGTATAGAACCTAAGGTTTGACATAGATATAAATTTTGTTCTGGTATATATTTGAGCTATGATTAGTTTGTTAGTAGTTGTCCATATGGTATGCAGAGTCAATCATTTCACTTTTTATTTCCACTAAAAGATTTGACTAACCTGTCCATTTTAACTTAGGACAAATTCTGCATGTTAGATGTTTGAAGATATTCCTCAGAGACACTTGGAAACAGATGTATTATGATACACATATATGTAGAGGTAAGGATGATGTGTATTTGCAAATTTCGGCACTCCTTTTATCTAAGATGATTGATTACGCATTTAATTTTATTTTCATATCCAAATGGTGCTTAAATGCTTAGGAGCTACTGTGGTATTGATTGAAGGGGTGCACTATGCCTCCCATGTATGGGGGCTTGATTGTTTATGGTCTGTTGTCATGGATGACAGTCCTGGAGGCTAATATCATCTGATGTGCCCCACTTCAATCAATACCATCTCTCTAGAAATGTTAATGGCACAAATACTTTTTTCTAACCAATTAAGATGGGTATCCCATGAATAAGCCACATTGAAATTCAAGAAAGGTTACCAACAAAGGTCTTAGCAAAGTTGCCTTTATGTTTGAGGTAAATGAAAATTCTTCTAGATCAACATTAAAGTCTCCACACTGAGTATTGGATCATCAAAAATCTAAAGTTGTCAATTTGAGTGGAAACTTCTAAAATCTTTACCCAAGGTGGAGGCTTTGTGTTACTGTGTAAAGTCAAAAAGATTCTTCAATTTTATTAGAGGCTTTAAAGAGTTTGTCAAGTACTCTACAATGAAAAATGTTATATAGTAGTTTCAGTCTTTTCTAAAACCTCCATGATTGAAACCTGGTGCAGAGGATTTTGGAAAGGATGCTATGATAGAGGATTGGGTAAAGAAGTTTGAGAAGCTTGTTGGGTCTCAGGTATTTTGCTTTAATTCCTACAATTGGGGTTTAGGATTTTGTTTAATTCTTTGGATTTTGAAATTATTTGTTTGGTTAGTATTGAAGATTAGGCTTTGTGCTCAACAATCAGTTTTCCAATTAGATTAGCTTTTGTGTTTCTGGAACAACATTCAAAAAAGGTATACTTATATTTTCTTATAGAAACTCATTATTAGGAGAATAATCAATTACATACTTTATAAAAATGTTATTAATTATTGGTTAAAAACATATTTCTAAGTTGTTGAGTATGCTGACTCCCGTGAAAGGATTTCATTTGCCACCACTTTTAGTTGAGGATAAATTGATAAGAGACTATTCGTTTCATCGTAGTAAATTGGAAATGTTCTATTTCTTTCAAGAAATATTTTGTTTTGTGTTTCATATGTTTTTATTGTCACATTGACATGTATCACTTAATTAATATAACAATGAAATTTTTATTAGCTTTGATATTCAACATGGAACGCACAAGAACATATGGACATTAGATCGTGGTAGTTGGCTTGATGGACAAGTAGTAAACCGTTGCACAAATGAATTTATAATGTACAAGATAATTGCATTTATTGATTAGTTGTTGTTTCTTAGAAAATCACTTTAGTTGCTTTGCAATTTACATTAAAGTAAAAGGATTGTATCACAGATGCGAAATATCCAGCGTGGTATCTACCTATATATTTTTTGGTAATTACTTATGCATTTATAATTGAAAGCATTTGACTATGTAGCATGTCCTGTTTATCTATACTAAGCTTGTGTTATTGATATTTATACTAATTTTTATGAGTTGTAGCAACATATTTTGCACCATAAGGTTCATAAGCCAAACATGCTCAAGTCCTATTTTGGAACAGAACAGTACACGGGAAAAATTGAATCATGTGAAAGGATATTGATTTGTTATTATCTTATTTTATTTTCGTGTAATATGTTAATGGATATGATACCAATGATTATTGATTTAATATAGGTGTACATTCCAATTAATGATGCGGGTGAACATTGGTATATGTGTGGTATACATGCAACAACAAATGGTATATATCCTTGATCCATATATATCCAAAAAAAAAGAAAAAGAACTCGGCTAACTCAAGTGAAAAAAGTGGTATACATCCTTATACAATATTGTTATTTGAATTTTGCATTGCATGTTTTCGTACTAATTAGTTATGTAAATGACATGTTGAAGTATTACATGTCTTATTGGGACTTCCGTACAAGAATGCATATACAAATAAAGTCACCGAGTTTCCAATTAGAACACTTAAATGGCTTCCACAACAAAGTAATGGCTATGATTGTGGAATGCACATCATTAAGTATTTTGAATTGGTGCAATTTATTGATTCCGAAGGTTGTTTGCTACAATTTTACTCGTGGGATGCAAGACAAAGATTGGCACTGGGCTTAGTTCGAGATGCAAACAATAAAATTGGGTCAAGAGTGATAGAATTGGCTTGCGATAGATAATTGTCATGTATCATTGATGTTGTTGCATGTTCATACTTGAATTATGTGAATTTCAACTGAATTTGTTTTGGGAGGATGTAGAGCAAATGGATTTTAGTCGTATGATTTTTGTCGTTTTTTAGTAATTTGGATTTGGATTGTACATGGGCAGGATTTGAATTAGTTATGACTTATGACTTTATTATACTTCAATGACTCCAGTTACTATTTTATTATTCTTTACTTACCATTTTATTCAACCATACTTACTAGTTAAAAAGACTCTACTTACTAGTTTATTAGACTTAACTTACCATTCAAATAAGTCTCACTTACTACCACTCAAATAAACTCCACTTACTACTTTATTACTCTTTGCTTACTAGTTTATTCAATCTTACTTACTAGTTAAAAAGACTCTACTTACTAGTTTATTAGACTTAACTTACCATTCAAATAAGTCTCACTTACTACCACTCAAATAAACTCCACTTACTACTTTATTACTCTTTGCTTACTAGTTTATTCAATCTTACTTACTAGTACCACTTTTTTTACTTGAGTTGGCCGAGTTCTACTTCTTCTTGATATATACGGATCAAGGATATATACCACTTGTTGTCGCATGTATACCACACACATATACCAATGTTCACCCGCATCATTAATTGGAATGTACACCTATATTAAATCAATAATCAGCACTATCATATTCATTAACATATTAAACAAAAGTAAAGTGAGATAATAACAAATCAATACCCTTTCACATGATTCAATTTTTCCCGTGTACCGTTTTGTTCCAAAATAGGACTTGAGCATGTTTGGCTTATGAACCTTGTGTTGCAAAATATGTTGCTACAACTCATAAAAATTAGTATAAATATCAATAACACAAGCTTAGTATAGATAAACATGACATGCTACATAGTCAAATGCTTTCAATTTTAAAATGCATAAGTAAATTATCGAAAAATATGTAGGTAGATACCACGCTGGATATTTCACATCTGGGATACAATCCTTTTGCTTTAATGTAAATTTCAAAGCAACTAAATGTTGGAAAATGGCTTTTGAAACTTTTGAAAAAACCTTATTTTTTGCTAACTTTGAGCATCAATTAAGGTGGGACCCAAGCATTATTTTTAACGTTTCTAATTGGGTTCATGTTTAATGTCGCATAGTGACTAAAACTGTGTATTTGGTTGCTCAAAACCATTTTCGGATGAATGAGAATTCAACGGGCATTTTCGGGTTCGTGGAAATGGATTTAGGTGGTTTCCTACACATTTGTGACATGTGCTTGTCCCCACATTGGAAAGGCTTATGGAATTGAATGTGTTTATATACCTTAGCTTGGGATGCTTGGGATAGGCCCCAAGGGGTACCCAAGATTGTGGAAGGGTGAGGTTATGGATAAAGTGGGCTAGACCCATTGGACCCAAAACAAAAACCACACGCACGTGCCGACACCGTCCAGTCAGGCGGGTTGGGCTGGGCGCGGATGCGTGGTGTGAGGTTGGATTACGCTTGTCCAGCCCAATACTTATCTTTTTGGGCTAAAAACATTTGAACTTTATTTATTTATTTTTATTTTTGGTTTCAAAAATCAAAATAAATTGGTCTATAATTTTTCCTTCACCCAAACAGATCCCTAACAGGTTCAGACCCACTTGAACAGGTTCAAAGGGTTCAAAACAGGTTCATAACTGTTCATTTCACACTGAATCTGTTTGGACAGATTCAAATCTGTCTGGTGCCTATTCAATCTATCCGAACAGGTTTCTACCTGTTCGGAATAGCTACCATTTCTCCTATTTAAAGCATGCTTCTAGCAATTCATTTCATTAAATTTTTCCCTCAGAATTTCATCATTTTTCTTCTATTCTTCCCGTGCTCTTGCATCTGTTTCTACATTTATTTTTTAGGAAAAAAAAAAGAGAGTTACAACAGAGTTTTGGTTCGCCAGACTTGAATTTGTAGTGTTGCAAATTTAAGTGTTAATCATTGCATCTTGGGAAGTAGACGCCGGTAAAACTTGAAGCACCAGAGCGAGGGTGAAATCTACTTTAAGGAGATTGTGTCCAACACAAGCCTCGACATTAATTTCTATAAGCTTTTAATTCGGAAAATAATTTATATAATTATTTTTTGTTGTTTATTTAATTTATACATTTAATTTACGCACACACTCCTCTGTGGAAATAACAATCTTAAAGTAGATTTCCAGCTTTTATTTTTCTGTGTTAAACAAACGAATATTTTGTTTCGAGAAATTAAATAGTAGTCACATACTATTTAATTTCTTATATAGTAGTAATATACTTTTTAATGATATCTTTGATAATATAGTAGTAATATACTAGTTATTATTGGAATTTTGTTACAATATTATTCTATATGTTTTGTGTGTAAATTCTTTTTTGTATAAATTTGCGATTAGTGTCTTAATATTTCGCTAGAATTATGACAACTAAAATAAACAGTATTAAGATTGTTATTACTCCGACCCCCACACCTGTTGTGCTAGTGATGACTCTGGCAGTACTGGTAAATCATGGGGAGAAGCTAGAAAAATTCAATGGAAATGATTTTAAAAGATGACAACAAAAAATGATGTTTTATTTTGCAACATTGAATTTGGCTCACTTCACTAATAAAAAAGCATTGGCACTGAACGAGGGCGAAACTGATCAACAAGTGGTTGCTGCAGTTGATGCATGGAAACATGGTGATTTTTTGTGTTGGAATTACATCCTCAATGGATTGGACAATACACTGTATAATGTGTATAGTGTCAAAAGCACTACTAAAGAATTGTGGAAATCTCTAGATTATAAATATAAGACAGAAGATGCCGGTACAAAGAAATTTGTTGACGGCCATTTTCTAGATTTTAAAATGATAGATTTCAAGATAGTTATTAGCCAGGTTCAAGATCTCCAATTAACTCTCCATGACATACATGCGAAAGTGATGGTTCTCAGTGAATCTTTCCAAGTAGCGACAAACATTGAAAAATTGCCACCATCCTGGAAAGAATTCAAGAATTATCTGAAGCATAAGCACAAGGAGATGAAATTGGAGGAACTAATAGTGCGGCTCAAGATTGAGGAGGACAACTGTGGTTTTGACAAGAAGTCAGCAAACCATGTCATGCAGGCTAAAGCAAATGTTATGGAACATAGACAAGGGTTAAAGTTCAACAACAAGAAATGGAAGCATGATGGCAATGGTCCTAAACAAGGATCCGTTAGTAAGATCAAAAAAGGGATGAACAATGGGTTCAATAAAAAGTTTAAAGGAAAGTGTTTTGTGTGCGGCAAAGATTGGCATTGCGCTAAGGATTGTCGCATTCGCAAGGACGGAGGGAGTTCGAGCAAAAAGCTAGCACAAGCCAACATCGCCGAGGATTTGTATCTTTCCGATGGAGTGGCAGACATCAATCTTGTTACAGTAGTCTTTGAAGCAAATTTGATGGGCAATCCCAAGGAGTGGTGGGTGGATACTGGAGCAACCCGCCATATCTATACCGATAAAAAGATGTTCACCACCTACAAAGTGATGGAAAATGGGGAACAACTTTTTATGGGAAACTCCTCTACATCTACTGTTGAAGGACAAGGAAAGATCGTGCTAAAAATGACCTTGGGGAAAGAACTCACTCTTAACAATGTACTCCATGTGCTAGAGATTCGCAAGAATTTGATTTCTGGGTCATTATTGATCAAGAATGGGTTTAAATTAGTCTTTGAATCTGACAAGGTTGTACTCTCCAAGAATGGAATGTATGTGGGGCGAGGTTATATGAGTGATGAGCTTTTTAAGCTCAATGTAAATACTGTTGTACCAAATTTGACTATTAATAATAAAAACACATCTTCTGTTTATATTGCCGAGTCTTCTTTTTTATGGCACGGTAGATTAGGACATGTTAATTTTAATTCTTTGCGTAGACTTGTTGTTTTAGAATGTTTACCAAACTTAGAATTTGATCCTAATCATAAATGTGAGATTTGTGTTGAGGAAAAACTCACTAAGGCATCATTTAATAAAGTAGAAAGAAATACTGAACCTTTAAGTTTAATTCACACAGATATCTGTGATTTAAAATTTATTCAAACTAGAGGAGGTAAGAAGTATTTTATTACTTTTATTGATGATTGCATGGGATATTGCTATGTTTACTTATTGAGAAGTAAAGATGAAGCCTTAGAAGCTTTTAAGCAATATAAACTTGAGGTTGAAAATTAACTTGGCAAACTATTAAGATAGTGAGGAGTGACATAGGTGATGAGTATGATGCACCATTTGAGGAATTTTGTTCTGAACATGGTATTACTCACCAAACCACTACACTCTATTCTCCTCAGTCAAATGGAGTTGCTGAGAGAAAGAATCGAACTCTTAAAGAGATAATGAATGCCATGTTGATTAGTTCAGGGTTACATCAGAACTTGTGGAGGGAGGCGATTTTGTCTGCTAACTTTATCCTTAACAAGGTACCCCACAAGAAACTCAATCAAACACCTTATGAATTATGGAAAAGTCGACGACCTACCTACAATTACCTCAAAGTAAGGGGGTGTTTGGCCAAGGTGGCAGTCCCTAGTCCCAAAACGACTAAGATAGGACCAAAAATTGTTGATTGTGTATTCATTGGTTATGCAAATAATAGTAGTGCATATAGTTTTTTAGTTCACAGATCGAAAAATTCGATTATGCATATAAACACTATTATTGAGTCAAGGAATGCGTCGTTTTTTTAACACATTTTTCCTAGTAAGGAAACTGAAGAGAAAAGTTCAAATAAAAGAACTTTTGATATTACTATGGGTAGCAGTGAAGACCACAATGATAATGAATCAGATGAACCTAGACGTAGCAAGAGGGCTAAGATCTCTATATCATTTGGTCTAGATTTTTTGACATACCTATTAGAAAATGAGCCTCAAAACTTCAAAGAAGCAATGTCAAGTCCTGAAGCTCCATTGTGGAAAGAGGCTGTGAATAGTGAAATTGAATAAATACTGTAAAATCATACTTGGGAACTGGTGGATCTTCCACCAGGGTATAAACCTCTTGGACATAAGTGGATATTCAAGAAAAAAAT